ATTTGGGTGAAAATTTACAGAGCAAATTCACTTTCCATATAGCAGTTCACATACACTTTGTCTCATGACACTGACCACAATTACCCCAATGCAACAGCTCCCCTCCCACTTCCTCCCCGTAGTTACCTCTTCCCTGTGTCCATCCCTCCATGCACTCCTGCCCCCTGAGTTGTATCCCTGTCCATAAACAGCCCTTCTTTCTCCCATGATTGTTCCCTCCAAGGAGTGTATCTAGCTCAGGTAAAAATGTTCAACTCATGTGTCATCTGCATATTGCAAGTTGTTAATGAGTCTTCCTCCAATCCTGATGCCACATTCTTCTTCATACAGTCCAGGTTCTTGGATTACTCGTTCAGCATACAGATTGAGTTAAGTATGGTGAAAGGACACAAGCCTGATGAACTCCTTTCCTGATTTTAAAACATGTGGTATCCCCTTGTTCTGTTCAAACTACTGCCTCTGGGTCTATGTACAGTACTCACAAGAAAATTAAGTGTCCTGGAATTCCCATTCTTCACAATGTTATCCATATTTATTGTAATCCACACAGTCAAATGCCTTTGCACAGTCAGTAAAACACAAGTAACCATCTTTCTGGTATTCTTTGCTTTTAGCCAAGATCCATCTGACATCAGCAATGATATCCCTCGTTCCACATCCTCTTCTGAATTCCGCTTCAATCTTTGGCAGTTCTCTATGTACTGCTACAACTGTTTTTTAATTATTTTCAGCAAAATTTTACTTGTGTTTGGTATTAATGATACTGTGCAATATCAATATCAATAATTTCCACATTTTGCTGGATCACCTCTCTTAGGAATGGGCACAATATAGATCTCCCCCAGTCGGTTGGCCAGGCAGCTGCCTTCCATATTTCTTGGCATAAACAAGTGAATGCTTTCAGTATTGTATCCGTTTGTTGAAACATCTCAACTGGGACTTTCTGACAGTAATAGTTTGATCAGCGGTGGACCCAGGTTTTACTGGGAACGGGAAGGGAATGTTGTCTGAGAATTCTTGCTCTTCGTGAAGGAGACCCAGGTTCAATTCCTGGACAATGCACCTCATGTGCAGCCACCGCCCATCCGTCAGGGCTGCTATGATGAACGAGTTTCAGTGGTGCGTCCAGGGTATGATGGACTAGGAAGGGAGTCAATGAAAACCCAATGGGTCACAGTTGTACCTGCAGCCCATCATGGCGATGGTGCAGGTCTGGGCAGCATTTTGTTCTGCTGTGCACGAGGCTGTCGTGGGACAGGGACTGACTCAACAGCAGCTGACAGCAGCCACAAAGGTTCTATAACTGAGGTTGTCTTGGGGGGGAGGGGTGCAGGCTATGCACATAAACCAACGTTAACCGTCATGGAAGGACTCCATGAAGTGAGGAGGCCTGAAGCTTGAGCTTCACAGCAAATCACCTCTGACTAAAAAACACCACCTTTCTGTAATTCTCACATCATTAAATTGTAGGCAGAGTATTCACTATTAACATGTTCTGTGCATAAAAAGAACTTACTGATGAAAACAAAACCTGAACTCTCACTTGATGCCAAATTTCAGTAATTTCAGCGGTATCTGTGCCTCTTTTGTACAACGGCAATCATACAATCCATGTGAGAGCATACCCATACTAAAAGCAAAGTGACAGAAGGTCATACTTACTTATTAATAACTGTATTGATTCTAACAGAAAAGACTGATTTTTAAACCATTTTTGTAAGAAGTGGCTGTGCTTCAGGTTAGAAGTTCAATCCTACTTCAGATTTTAACCAATGTGAATTAAAAGTACAACTCAGTTTGAAGAAACTGAGTGAACATCATTACCAATTTTATAATTAAACATTCCTTCAAAAAGTGCCTTCCTTGACTCCAGAAAACAAAATTGAGAAATCTATTAAATTTATAATCAATTTTTATTGACTGATTAAATAAATATCTTACTGTCAAAAACAGATCTAAAATAAGGAAGCTATAAAGCTTTTCTTACTCTGACATTTAACTTCATGTAGTCTTAGCTCGATGGCACATACCAACAACAGTCTTAGCTGATGTCACTCTTACTTATTGATCTTATCCCTCCCACTGGAGGGGGTGAAGAAGGAAGAAAAGAACAGAAATCTTAGCTGCAAATAAAATATTCAGCTTGTGCTGAGACACAAAAGTCGGCATTCCGTTTCTAATGAGCCATGCTGCGAAGCTCATGCTGCATGCCGCTGGCCCTTTTGGGTGGGTTTGTGAGACCTGGGCACTCGTGAGTAGCTTATCCAATCCGCTGCCCTCCTCAGGAACTTGGCTACCTCAGCTCAAAAACTGACTATCCATCTCCACAGAATGGTGAGAAGCTTATTTCTTCTAGAAGCTCTGAAATAAGAGCTGAATGTAAAACAGACACAGGTTGCCAGACATCCATGACTCTGACTGTAAGAGAGAAAACAAGCTGAGAGAATGTTCTCTCTGGGATCCTGACACTTTAGAAAACTGGGACAGCTGTATCATTCCTCTTGGAACAATGGCACAGCAGAGTGAATGGGCAGGAATGAGAGTGAAAGGCTCCTTCTCTTCCAAACCAAAGCTTTGTTTCCATGACCATACAGCAGCTGTAAAAATGATCTGTAAACACAGAAACACTGGGTGGCTGATGAAGCATGAGGTATCCTTAGAAAGTACTGAACTGTGTCTGAAAGTCTCTTTGGGGAAAAGCAAACACCTTTTGTGCTAGCCAAGTCTCACCCCCGTTACCCAAAAATATGAGTTAAACCACAAGAAGGGCAGATCATGCAAACATTTTTCTACATTTTTAATGTGATGAGTATTTGATGTTATAACGGGGTAGCAGACAGGCGACAACCAAAAGAGCAGCTCTTGTAGTCTGAGGTCTTAAAATCCACACCCTTTCACCTTGCATGTGTGGAAGAAGAAAGAGCAGAAGAGAAAATCACTTCCACCTGGACCACTGCTTTTCTTTATCTGTTAAAGGCACGTATATCACCCCCATCAGAGGCTTCATTTTGACGCTGCCATCTTGTAGCTTGTCATACTGCTCCAACATTTGGTTTCCACCTGCAGGACCAACTGGCAATATCAATCTTCCACCAGGCTTTAATTGGTCTATTAGCTAAAAGAAAGAGAAAACCAGATACACAGTTATCTATTTTTATATTAATGGTAATTTTATATCATTATAAACAACCTTCAGTATCCATGGGCAGAAAGCACATAAGTATTTTAATACATACATTCTTTGATTATTGCACTTATAACTCAATTATCCACTTAATTTCATCTACCTATCAGCCTCCTCCACTAAACCACAAGGTCCCTGAGGACAGGGACTGTGCCTTATTTGTCTTTGTAACCCTACCACTTAACTCTGTTTTTCAACTGTAATGCTTAACATGCTTGAACTGAACCACACAATGTAGAACTTTCTTCTTGGGAAAATGAAGGGCAAAGCAGAAAACTTCAACACCATCATGTCTGTTTTGGGTTGGATGGGAAGTATAGAAAATCAGCAAAGAGTCATCCCTCTCCCTTTTTGTAGCACCTGGGGCACCACTGAACCAACAACAAGGGAAACCTAGTTTCACGACAACATTTAGGCACCATGAGGAGAAAAGGGAGGGCTGGAGTCCTGCAGCACGTGAATGAAGACACACCTGGTCCATGAAGAGCCGAGACCACTCAATGAAAAGCCTTCCAGTTAGAAGTTTCAAGGCAGATGTTACCATCAGTAGCCTTACAGATTACTGCTATCAAAACAAGACAGCAAACCTTACTGTGGGTGGTGGTTCCCATGGAAGAGTGCCCTTCAATTATTATTTCGGTTTTTAGCAAGTCAGTCTTATTTTTTCCATTTTAATTTTTATCAAAGTAATATTTACAAGTATTCTTTCAGTCGTTTTCTAAATTTCAAGGCTTATAATGTAAACAAGTAAATACCTTCCATCATACCGATCCTGCTCCCTAAATCCAGTCCTTTTAAATCCTTTTAGTGGCGTCTTCCAGTATTTACCTTTGTATTTCGAATATGCTAGATGAGGATTGAGCTCTGTTACAAGTATTTGGCTCCTTTCCCCTAATCCAACCAACATCATAATTCTGAACTGAGGATCCCAACCCCCTTCACTTAAACACAATCCTACTTCAGATTTTAACGATTTATATTAGGCTGCCATATTTAAAAAAGAAAGAAAAAAGCTAAAAAGCTACTGGTCACGTGCTTGTTGTTGTTGTTGTTATGTGCCATCGAGTCAAACCTGCTCATAGCGACCCCTCCTTGGGTTTCCGAGGCAGTATCACTACGGAAGTAGGATTGCCCAACCTTCCTTCCGAGGAGTGGCTGGTGGGTTTGAACCGCCAGCCGTCTGGTTAGCAGGCAAGTGTCTTAGCCACTATGCTACCAGAGCTCCCGGTCACGTGCTAGTATGTGAAAATTCACTGAGCTGGTCTTTTATGGCTTATACACTTTTCTATATTATGTTAATACTTCAATTAAAATGTTTTTAAGCATTTGGTTTAGTCTTAAAAAAAAAAAACAAGCAACAAGGTGAGAGAAATTAAGGAACTGTCTCAAGATTATTTAGCCAGTGAGCAAGTTGATGACCAGAACAAATCTCCCAACTTGCAGCTTCTCATAACTGATCTAAACACACAAAAGAGAACCCCTCCCAGGTTGGGCATGGATGAGAGAATGGGCAGATGAAACAGTGTCACTTTCAGCCCCTTTCATCAAGCTAAAACAAAGAAAGAAAGAAACAAAAACCAAACAGACCCAAACTCAATTCTGACTCATAGCAACCCCCACTGGGTTTCCAAGGCTGTAAATCTTTACAGAAGCAGACTGCCTCATGTCTCTTCCATGGAGCGGCTGATGGGTTGGAACTACTGACCTACTGGTTAGCAGCCAAATGCCTTAATCACTATACCACCAGAACTCCCTATGATCAAGCCAAGGACTCTGTAAATCTCATAATAAGAGATGTGCATTTATTGAAGGGTCATTACAAGGTCTGATAAAAGCTTATCAGTCTTACTAAGATGAAAAATCAATATTTAAAACATTTCCTTGAATATGTATGTAATACACAATACTGAAATATTGTTTCCTGTCATTGTCAACTATATACATCCTATTACTCTTTAAGGTCCAGTTCAAGTTCCATTTCCACATGAAGTTTTTTTTGACCTGTCTATGCAAAATTCTCTCCCTCCCTGGAACTCCTACAGTGCACATTTTCTTTTCCATTCAATAGCTATCCTGTCCACGTGAGATGCTATCATTAATTTCCCTTCAATGAGATGACACATTTCTTCTGGAACATAAGCTATGTAAAGGTAAAATGCTTGGCAAACACTTCCTAGCATCTCCTAACACAGTCTTGCATATTCTGGTGCTTAATAAAACACCAAATGGATTAATTATCAGGTCATGAGCTCCAGAGTGATTTTCCCAATTTCACCGGTGTACTAGTTCTTAGCTGGATCAAAAACTGCTTGAAGCAGGACAGCCATGAGCTAGGGTTAACTTTCATGTCATTTATGCAACTGCTGCATTAAGGAAAAAAAACAAGCATCAATTAACAGTAATTAAAATATACCACATGAAACTCTCATTACACTTTGCATATCATCTATGAATCATGTCTATATAAATCTTCAGAGTTTTGGTTGAATAAAGTACACAAACAGAAAAGAAAAAACTCACTGCCTGGGGCACAACTGGGGCTGCGGCTCCTACGTGTATAGCGTCGTACGGTGCTTCGGGGGCATATCCCATTCTCCCATCTCCCACTGAAAGGAAAAAAGAGGAGCTGTACAAATCTGTTCAGACAGACCTACCTGTGTGCAGAATCATACTACAGAAAGTTTGCAATGGGGAAAGGGCAGATTTTTCAATAAATAATGCTGGGACAACTGAACACTGATATGGAAACAAATATAACTGAACACCTACCTATTACATCAACAAAAATCAATTTTGGGAAGATCAAAGGCACAAATGTGTAAAGTAACAATGATAAAATTTCAAAACAAATAAGAAAATATCTTCATGACTTTAAAAACCACCAACTGCTGTCAAGTCAATCACAACTCAAATTAACCAGATGTGTGTCAGAGAACTGCGCTCCACAGAGTTTTCAATGATGATTCTTCTACAACAGATCACCAGGCCTTTCCTCTGAGTCACCTCTGAGTAGATACATACCTGTGTAATGCAAATGACTAATGCACTCCGCTGCTAATGAAAGTGGGAGGTTGGAGTCCACCCAGAAGCACTGGAAAGAAAGGCCTGGCAATCTACTTTCAAAAAATCTGCCATTCTGTTTATGCATAGGGAGATAGCTCAGGGGGCAGGAGCGCACGGAGGGATGGACACAGGGAAGAGGTAACTACTGGGAGGAAGTGGGAGGGGAGCTGTTGCATTGGGGTAAATTGTAGTCAATGTCATGAGACAATGTGTGTGTGAACTGCTGTGTGGAAGGTGAATTTGCTCTGTAAACTTTCACCCAAATCACAATTTAAAAAAAAAGTTT